TGTATGTGTGTGGACAGGAAAGGGGTGGGGCAGGGTTTGGGGAGGCACTCGGGGCTCTGCTCCTATTGCTACAGCACGGGGGAGGAGGAACAGTTCCTGGAGGGCTCCTGGACGGTGGTAGCACCTGCTCCAGAGGTTCTCACTCTATCTGGGACTCCCATGGTCCTGGGAAGCTCCTCTCCAGTACTCCATGCATACTCACAGCAGACACGGTCATGGGAGGAAAACAGACTGCCCTGGCCCTTAGTCATACCCAGGCTTGGCCTGCCATGTTATTGGTCATGTGTGGGCCTTGCTGGTCACCTGGAAAGCCCCCCAACACAATATGCCCATAAGCCTGTTGTGACCCTGTGCAGGCCCCGGCACATGGCTGTATACCCAGGGTGACTTGACTGTTGAGTGTCAACCTGCCTACTGCCAAGACCCATGCATGTAAATCCCAGGCAATTAGGAATGTCACAAATGCACCATCCCCGTGGCCTGGCAGCCATCTCACAAGCTCCTGGTCCTGCCATCACACATCCTGTGGAACCCTGTGGTCTGCAGGCAGATTGAGAGGCTCCATCTACCATGGAAGGCTTAGGAGGCCCATCCCCCAATGCCCAGCCTCCTTTATCTTTATGTCTGGGTTCAACTTTAGCACCCTGAGGTTGTCCAGTTTCATCTCCTAATTGTCAAAGCTCAAGAAGGCTTAAAACAGGGCAGCCTGTTCAATTTCTACCTGGCTCTCATCAGGCCAGAAGCCAAGCCCACTTTGTACCTGTCCTGCAGGTGGTGCTGGTGAGGCAGGAGGACAGCCTGGCTGGCAAGCGCTGTATATTGAGAAATTCTCTTTTTTTTTTTTTTTTATTGTTGCTTACATTGTATTATGTAGTACAGTTTTATAGGCGCTGGGGATTCCCCCTACCCCTCCCATACCCCTCCCCCCATGGTGGATTCCTCCACCTTGTTGCATAACCATAGTTCAAGTTCAGTTGAGATTCATTGCTTGCAAACACTTGCCTAGCATAAAGTTCAGCGTCTTATTGTCCAGATAAGTTCAGTGGCCTCTTGGGGAGACCTTCTATGGTCTGAAGATAGGGCTAACAGAGTAAAGATCCAGTCAGTTAAAAGCCCCAACAAGGCCTCAGTATCAATATACAACATTATGGAATTAATTGACATAGTATTGGGTAAACAATATGTTAAAAATAATGCAAGTTCCCTTCTTCGAAACATCTGGGTTGAGACAGTATCAATGACAGGTTCAAAAAATAACAAACAACCAAACAAAAAATTACAGGTTAAATAGGGAACTTAAGCTGCTCAAGCAGTGAACCTTGGTCTAATCAAGTCTATGTTTCTAGTGAGGTGCAAGACCTTCTGCCCAAGGACTGAGAATTTGCACGGAATTTCTGGTTCCTTCACTCACTCTCTGATCTCCCCTGATCAGAGATGCCTAACCCTGATCCCTAATAGAAAGCACAGCCAGCAGTGTCAGGGGGTAGGAAGAGGCACATTTGCGTCTTTGAATCCCAGCTCACTTAAGCTGTGTTTCCTTGCTCTCACTAACACTGTTCCCTCACTTGTGTTCAGTGACATCTGGGTGAATGGGTGGGGCCACTGCAACCATGGGTTAAGCAGACACCTACTTATGGGTGCTGGTTTGAGTCCCAACTGCTCCACTTCTGATCCAGCTCCCTGCTAATGTGCCTGCAAAAGCAGAGAAATATGGCCAGGTGCTTGGGCCCCTGCACCTCATAGGAGACCTGGAAGAAGCTCTTGGCTGCAGTCTGGCTTAGTCCTGGCTGTGGGCTGCCATTTAGGTACTGAATCAGTGGATAGAAGATCTCTCTCTCTCTGTAACTCTACTTCTCAAACACTTTAAACAACTTTTAAAGGAAATATCCAGATACGGGTGAGGCACTCATTTTTAAAAAAATATTTATGTATTTTTATTACAAAGTCAGATATACAGAGAGGAGAAGAGACAGAGAGGAAGATCTTCCATCCTATGATTCACTCCTCATGTGAGCACAACAGCCGGTGCTGTGCCAATCTAGAGCCAGGAGCCAGGAACTTCCTCTAGGTCTCCCACAAGGGTGCAGGGTCCCAAGGCTTTGGGTCATCCTTGACTGCTTTCCCAGGCCACAAGCAGGATGGGAGCTGGATGGGAAGTGGAGCAGCTGGGACTAGAACCGGTGCCCAAATGGAATCCCGATGCGTTCAAGGTGAGGAGTTTAGGCGCTAGGCCACCATGCTGGGCACAAGGCACTCATTCTTCCAGGAGGAGGACTCAGCCAGTTTTTGTTGGATGAACAAAGGATATGGCCAAATTTGGACATGGGTGTAGTCAGCAGTTAGGAGTATCAAGTTTGGAATGGAAAGTAGAGGTTAGAATTGCACAAGTCCTTGAGAAAGCTGCATGGCTCTTCAGAGTCTCCAAGGGACAGAGGTGCTCCTGTCCTGTGTAGAAGGTGCATGGTCCAAGGGCAAGGGGCTGAGCTGAGCACAGATGGGAGGCTGTGCTGATGGGCAGGCAGATGGACTAAACCCTCCCCTTGCAAGTGCCGAGATCCCATATGGCCACTGGTTCATATCCTGATTGCTCCACTTCCTTTCCAGCTCCTTGCTTATGGCCTGGGAAAGCAAAGGAGATTGACCCAAAGCCTTGGGACCCTGCATCTGTATATGGGATATCTGGAAGAAGCTCCTGGCTCCTGGCTTCAGATCAGCTCAGCTCTGGCTGTTGTGGCCACTTGGGGAATGAACTACCAGATAGAAGATCTTTCTCTCTGTCTCTCCTTCTCTCTGTAAATCTGCCTTTCCAATCGAAAGAAATAAAATCTTAAATAAAATAAAATCTTAAAATAAAATTCAGAGGCCCCTTCCTGTCCAGATACTAAGAAGCATTTCATGGCAAGCTCAACTTCCTTAGCTGGGACCTGCCCAGCCCAAGGAGACCTGGCCAGGTCGGGTGGGCAGGGCAGGAAGGGGTGGATCCAGCCTTGGGAGAGCCTATGTCCCCGAATGGCCTGCTTCCCTTCACCACCCCAACCCACTGAGTTGTCCATGTGCAGGCTGGATGGACAAAGCAGGTGCACAGAGCCTGCTCCCAGGCTGAGAGGCATGTGGCCAAGACACGGAGCTGGAAACCTTGGGACTTGGAGGCGAGGCCAGCTCTGCGGCAGACAAGGGGGCCTTGGAGACCATCTGGGCCTCAGTAGCTTTCTCTGGAGGAACTGAGGGGTTCAGACCGGAGGAGCAACAAGGCTGGAAAGTCCCAGCTGAGGAAGCCTCTGATGGTGACTGTGCTCCCTCAAGTCAGCGCTTTGCACAATTAGCCCCCACCCCCACCTCTAGACGGGCACATATCCTTCCTGTTTTATGAGGGGGTATCAAGTTCCAAGGCCTTGGCAAGGATGTGCAGATGAGCAGCCATGGTTCCGAGAGCTGGCATGTCAAGTCCCCCGTGGCCTCAAAGTCAGGCTCTCTCCCCTATAGTCGGCCCGCCGCCTCCCTGCCCAGCACTGTGGTGCGCAGCTTCAGATTGGGGCCAAGAACTTTCGTTTTTTCACTCCCTGAAGCCCCGCCTTGCACTCTGATTTCTGATAAGTCGAAAGACAGGGAAGGTCACTGGCAAGGACAGGAAAACACTGGCAGGAGAGGAAGTCTGCACGTTCGACATCTCCAGGGGCTGGAGAGGCCGCATCTGCAATTGCAGCTGGACCAGACCAGGTCCCCGGGACCTCAATAGGCTTTTTTTTTGGTGGGGTGGGGAGGAGAATAGATGGCAGGTTGTGCAACACTCAGGTGTACTGGTGGTCCAGCCATGGCTCCCGGCCAGCCTTGGACCCAGCATTACTCCAGGCCAACAGCCTTCCCAGGTTGCCTGTGGGAAGCACCTGTCCGCCATTCAGCCTCCTAAGGAAGCTGGATCTTCCTCGCCTGCCTCTCCACAGCCATTCATCCATCAGACATCTCTCAGGCACCTGTTCCTCACCAGCCCCTCTGCAGGCAGCTGAGGACACAGAGGGGTAAAACGCAGTCTGGACCTAGCAGGTGCTCCTGGCTGAGTGGGTCAGCCCTGGGTAGGGACATAGGTAAACCTTGAAAGACTCTGGAGTTGGGTGGTACGCCCAGCTGAGACCCTTTGGTCCCCAGCATGTATTCTGGGGGCTCCCCAGGATTCCCTGAGGACAAGGCCCATCTCTCCACTAGGAGATTCCAAGTCAGCCACATTGGGGTTCAAATCTCACTTCTGTAACTTGCTCTCTGTGCGGCTCCGTCTCCCTATCTGGAACAACAGATAGCCACAGCGCCTTCCTGTTGCGAAGATTACCGCGGACATTTGCACTCAGCCAGGAACCTGGCACACACCTCAACGTAAACATACGTTTGCTATGAATTTTATCGCGGCCACGCTAGAATCGATACTAGCGCGGGGTAGGGATGAGGAGTGTATTTCTGGAGCCTGTCTCTTTGGCCAAGGCGATCAAAGTCCCAACCACGGCTCTCGGGGCAGCCCGCCCCCCGATTTCGGGGAAATGGACAGGATGAGGAACTTTGCCGGAAAGGGGTCTCTGCGGGCAGAGGCGGACTCTGCACGCACACAGCCCAGCCTCTCCTAGATCGGGCGTCCCCTACGGGGCTGCGACGATCCAGGAAGGTCCCGCCCACGGCCGCAAGGCCCTCCCTTGGGCCGGGCGGGCCCGCGCCGCTGGGGGTTCCGAGGACCTGTGCCCTGGCAGGGGCCGCCCCTAAGGGCGCTTGCCGGAGCTCAGTTCTTTCAGCTCTCGGGACGCCCGCAACTCCCCCACGACTCCCTAGAGAAGGAAGCGCAGGGGCTGAGAGGGTATCAGGGCGCAGCTTGTCCGCTGCCGGGCGCACGTGGCGCGATCCCCGGGTTGGGGGAAGTGGGGGTTCGCGCAGACGCGCGGGGATGGCGCAAGGTGCAGGTGGGTGGGCTCACGGGCTGGGGTCCCCAGAGGCCGGCGCAGTGACAGGGGCAGGACACTCACCTCTGCGGCCCGCCGCTCGGAGCCACGGCGGTAGCAGCGGAGACGCGTGCAGGTCCACGGCAGAGGCGGCGGCTCGGCCCCTGGCTCCTCCTCTCCTTTCTCCGCGCCCCACCCGCCCACAAGGGCCGGACCTGCCCTGGTGGTGGCCGCCTGCCAGCACGCCGCCCGCCTGCTTATCCGGCTCGGCCACGTCCCGGAGGGCCACAATCGGGCAGCCTCAGCGTCCCGGGTCGCCACCCTCCTTCCCTGGCCCGGTATTGCGCGCCACTTCATGGGGTACACGTGGCTAAAGCGAGTAGACCTCTGGGACCAACAGCTAAAGGCAGAGCATACAGGCGATGGTGATCCCCTAATGTCTTTCCTTCCCCGCTCCTCACCCAAGGTACATCTCGAATTCACGCCCACTTATTTGACAGCTGTTGAACGACAGGCCAGGGGTGTTTGGATGGGGAGAGGCCACCGGCCTGTGTGTGGGGTGCTTCCTTTTCACTGTCTGGGATTCAGTAGGCCCTTGGGATCCTGGTGCAGTTCACTCCTTCTGTGAGTGGCACCTGCTGCTGAGATGGCCTCTGCCTTTACAGATGAAGCTCTGATGGGTAGAGGTGGCAGGGCGGGGGGCGGGAAGAGCCCTGATCCTTGGGATTCTTTTAGAGTATTCTTGGGGGGTAGGGGGCCCTTTCCACCAGCCCATGATCACCGGGTGGGTCTTCTGAAGCCAGGACCGTGTGTTCCAGGAAACCAACTTGTGTTGGGCAGATAAGTGCAAGAGAACAGCCCCTCCCCCAAGCAGGGGGCCTGGGCCTCAGGACCCCACCAGGCACAATGTGTGGTGCTTGGGGGGGGGGGGGCAGGGGCCCTGCCCCCACCCTGCCACCTGCTGAGACCATCCCTGAGTAGCTTGGCTCCCCCCCAGCCTCCAACATCCTTCTCCCTCCCTCTTTTCCTCTCTTCCTCCAGGCACAGCCAGACCCCAAGACCCAAAGCTTCTCCAGAAGCCCACCCAGGCCCCAGGCCACACTCTGTCTGAGCTACTGAGTTCTTTTTTTTTTTTTAAGATTTATTTTTATTATTTTTTTTATTGGAAAGGCGGATATACAGAGAGGAGAGACAGAGAGGAAGATCCTCTGTCCGATGATTCACTCCCCAAGTGAGCGCAACAGCCGATGCTATGACAATCCGAAGCCAGGAGCCTCTTCCAGGCCTCCCACACGGGTGCAGGGTCCCAAAGCTTTGGGCCGTCCTCGACTGCCTTCCTGGGCCACAGGCAGGGAGCTGGAAGGGAAGCGGGGCTGCCGGGACAGAACCGGCGCCCATATGGGATCCCGGGCGTGCAAGGCGAGGACCTTAACCACTGCGCCACCGCGCTGGGCCCCAGCTACTGGGTTCTTTATCATTCACAAACACCTCCCCTCACCATGCACTGTGCCACCAAGCAGTGCTGGGGGAGGGGGAACATGCAGGCGGTGTCCCATGCTGGCCATTTCTCTGGGGAAGCAGCCGGGTCCGACCATGCAGTGGTCTTGGCAGTGGGTTGTAAGCTGCTGGAAGACAAAAACCAGTTCCCAGGCCTGGCTGGTGCTCTCTGCTGTGTGCACATGTGTACACACACACACATACACAGATGCTTAAGTATCTGCTCTGGGGGCCTGGCGCGATAGCCTAGCGGCTTAAGTCCTCGTCTTGCACGCACTGGGATCCCATATGTGTGCCAGTTTGTGTCCTGGTGGCTCCGCTTCCCATTCAGCTTGTGGCCTGCAGTCAAGGAAGGCCCAAAGCCTTGGGACCCTGCACCCGCATGGGAGACCCGGAGAAGACTTGAGGCTCCTAGCTTCGGATCGGCTCAGCTCCAGTCATTGTGGCCGCTTGGGGAGTGAAGCAATGGACAGAAGATCTTCCTCTTTGTATATCTGACTTTCTAATAAAAATTTTTAAAAATCTTGAAAAAAAATCTGCTCTGGTTTTTTATAATCTCTGGGTGTCTTTTGATGGAGCTGGGGAAATGGGAATGCTGGGATGGGTCTTTGGATCCTTCTAGCATCCTTGGGGCCTGATGAATCTCTTAGCTGTTTTCTTATAAGCTGGAGAGAGGCTGATTTGAGAGCTGAGCTGGCATTGCTTAGAGGGATATGGAGGACTTGTGCCAAGAGAAAATTGACACAATGTTCTGGAAAGGCACAGGCAGGGAGGTGTGTTGGGGCCTACCACATGCCTTGTGGATGGAGGTGGGTCCTGCTTCTGGCGTTGGGTGACGGACCGGCCCACTTCCTGTGGACTGCAAATGTCTGGAGTGGAAGCTTGTCTCTCCTGGCCCTGGGGGTGGACATGAGTGAGAGCTCACCAAATGGCTCCTCAAGTCTGGGGACAAACTCTGCAAAGCAGAGGAGTCCCCTCCTGCCCCCAGAAGGCCTGGAGCGGCAGCCAGCTCTGTCCCTGGGTCTTTCTGTCCTGAACCAGGCCCAGGGCAGACAGGCAGAGCCATCCCTTCACTGCATTTGCAGATCAGGCCATTCCTTTGCCCCAAACCTCCCCAGTCAAGCTCCCTGGATCTCTTGGAGCAGCATGGAGCCTGGCAGAGGCTGTTTGCCTCTGCTTCCACTGCACAAAGTAAGACACCTGCTGTTTCTCTTCTTCCTAGCCCTTGGGGTCTTCCAGCACACCATGAAGCCGTTTTTTGATGCTTCCTGTTTAGTAACCGTTCCCTCCCCCCCCCCCCCAGAAGAATGAACTCCTCCTATAGTGATTTTTTTTTTTTCTCACCTTTCTCCACTTCCAAAAGTTAATGGAAAATGGAAGTATAAAACTGAGATCTCGGGCCAGGCGCGGTGGCGCAAGTGGTTAAAGGTCCTCGCCTTGCACGCCCGGGATCCCATATGGGCGCCGGTTCTAATCCCGGCAGCCCGCTTCCCTTCCAGCTCCCTGCCTGTGGCCTGGGAAAGCAGTCGAGGACGGCCCAAGGCTTTGGGAACCTGCACCCGCGTGGGAGACCCGGAAGAGGCTCCTGGCTTCGGATTGTCATAGCATCGGCCGTTGCGCTCACTTGGGGAGTGAATCATCGGATGGAAGATCTTCCTCTCTGTCTCTCCTCTCTGTATATCTGCCTTTCCAATGAAAAATAATAAAAATAAATCTTAAAAAAAAAACTGAGATCTCTTTGATGCAAAACTCTTGCTCGTTCCAAAAGTGCATTTCCAATAAACTTCCTGGAGCCCCCAGTGTTGGCAGAATGCACACACTCCTCTTCACCCTTGTTTATCTTCAGCCTCAGGAGAAGCCACTCTCTCGGGCTCCTGGCTGCTCCGCACTGCTGCCCCGTGCACCCAGCGCTGCACGCGGCTGGGCAGAGCAGGGTGTCTCACACACACTAGGGATGCCTGGGATTGTAGCAGAACATTCCATCTCCAGAGCCCCTGAGATGGCCCTTGCTTGAAGCATATGCTAATCCCTTAGCTAAAAGGAGTGCAGCAAGAGATTATAGACTTTTAATGCTGGCCAGAGAGAAGCTTCTTGGCTTGATCCAGCATTCCAAGCTCAGGAAGGGAGCACATTCATTTCCCGAAATTGACTGAATACAAGCCGTATATGAAAAGCCATAGGCCCTGATGTATTCTCACAGCCCTCGCCGGCAATCAGGCCATCCAGACCTGGTCCTGCACGAGCCAAATGATGGAAGACTGTGGCCCCAATGAAGCAGCCATCCCCACAATACCTTCCTCCCCACCTTGACTGGGCACCTGGAGACTCTCCTCCAAATTTCCAGGAGGCAGGAGGTAGCTGTGCTCTGAGTGGAGGACCTTCAGGTGACTCAAAGCCCCTGGAAGAAGGGCTGTTCACTCACTGTGAATTAAGGTGAAAGCCACGGCCAGCCTTAGCCATAGCGGCAGCAGGGAGCAGTCATGGGAAAGGTGTGAGGTGAACTGACTTGCAGAAGTGTGCTTGAGGCCTGGATAATTCCCAGGCTGCTCTGCTCAGTACACTATTGTGAAGAACTGTCGTGTCACATACGGCATGGCCAGCCGCTACTGCCAGGTGTTGGAATCGCCTCTCCCTTTGTGTCCACCCAAACCTCCTCTCCGCACCCCAGTTTGGTTAACTTGTCCGTGTTGGCACAAGCTGGCCCTCCTTTCGCCCTCTGTGGAAACCTGAGTTCTCTCTAAGCCTGGTGGTGTAACAGGTACCCCTGTATCTACAGGGAGATTCACCTGTGGCCAGCACAGACAGTGGGGAGGGTCCCGAAGGAAGGGGCTGAACGGAGAGGGTGTGCAGAGGGCAGGGATAGGGATGGGGGTGGACTGCACAGGACTAGATGGGTTTTTGAATGGGGTTCCCTGGCACCCAATAAATTTTGACGTCAGAGCTGGAATCTTGGATTGGGTCAACAGGGATGGAGGGCAGTTGGCCCAGCACCTGTGGATGTACTTGCACACTCCCCTCCCCAGCCCCGCGCCCCTGGGAGCAGGTTTCCCCTGTCTGCTGTGATAACGTGGCACCTGCCTACTCACTTGGGAGAGCATCCGAAAGGCCCTGGTGCAAAGTCTGGGTTTTAATCCCTTGCTGTTCCACAAGTGGTAACCTCTGGCCTGGGAAGCTTCTGGAAATGCAAAGTTTCAGGCCTGCCCCAGGTCTGTGGTGTCAGAACGCCCTGGGAGACTGCATGTATGGTGAAGTTTGATACATGTTGGGTCCACACTGGGACAGTTCAGACCAGAATCACACTCTCGGCTTTCTCAAAGGTTCCTGTGAACCAAATAGTCTCCCTTCATCTGCTGTCTATGTGGAATAAATGCCTCTGCCCTTTTGCCGACAAAGCTCAAAGCTCTGCGAACAAATATTTTACCGCAAACATGCCTCCTTCTTTTTAGTCACTGGTCACATTTCTTTTCTCACCATGGTGGCTAGGGTGCTCAGACTCATGTTCACAATTCCAATTATTTTATAAAACATTTAAACTCTACTTTTTTTGCCCCTTTCCTAGCTACAAGTTTATGACTTTTCTGCATCTGGTTTACTAGTTGCCTTGTTAGGCTTTTCA